GTGTAGAAGCTGTTATTTTAATAAATATATGATTATTTTATAAATTATTTTAAAGGATGATTAAATAGTACACTTGTTAAATGATTAAATATAAAATTTATATATTGAGTATACATGTATTACACTAATACATGAAATAAATTGTAATGTAGAATTGTCATAATAATGAAAATAGTGAAATCGCAATACCTAAATACTGAATCAAATATATCCAATATTTTGTTATGATTGTCAAGATTAGTACTTATCTGTTAACAATAAATAAATAAAAAACATTAAAATACCTGCATGCAAGGGAAAATTATTGCATATTATTAGTATATATATTATGAAACAGATTCTGTAGTGAATCATATAATTACGTGTATTGATGTATTGGAAATTTAAACGCTATTCCGGTAATACAATACCGGTTCGCGTAAATCTGGATCTACAATAGGTATTTTAAGCCTTAAGCCGTAAAAAATTGATCAATTAGTCGAATGCGAAGAGAATATTTGATTGTGATTCGTCTATTTCTTATGGCTTAAGGCTTAAAAATCTATTGTAGATCAGGACTAAAGGAGAACGGCAATGTCTTATACCATGTCTTAGCACCGAGACAGTACCGTGCGGTTATCTTTTTTTAATATTCGGTGAACAACAAGGAAAATATATATTAAAATATATAAAATAATATATTATGCGCACCATGCATGAAACAGAACGTACTTCGTGTCTCCAGATCATATATAAAACATCGCTGCACATGTTAATCTTCCTGATTTTCAAATTCCTTTGATTTTGTATACAATGCGTGATGTAATTTACAACAAGATAGACAATAGTACATTTCAAATTTTACATCGTTTTTTCTGTCATTTTGTATCGTTCTTCCAAATATTGCATTGAAGACTTTATTAATATATGTGTTTGCGTACACCTTTTTACACCATTTATCGAACCAGATTCTATTATTACAAATGATGCATATTTTCACTGTATCTAAATGTACGACTAATGTATATGGTATTGAATTTACATCGTATACTATGCTATAAAAGATACAATTATTATTATTTTGTGTCTTATGAGATATCTTATATTTCTATATTATAGTCCATATTCAGAATGCGTTTACAACGTAGCTAGCGAGCTAACATATATTTTACATTACGCATATTATAGAATTTCAGAAATAAAAGTGCGTTTTTATCGGTAAAAGTGCGTCCTGAATATGAACCTATAGATTTTATTCTTCTTCAATTATTTTAATGATAGGATCTTTAATCAATTTAGAGAATAAATTTTTTCTTAAGACAAAAAATCGAAAGAAATTGCTATAGTTATAACAATTTTTTAGATTGCATGCTTTTGTAATTATAGTTTTAAATTAGAAATTTATTAAAATGTAAAATTAGCTGACGAACCTGGTTTTATGATCTTTGAATCATTAACTTTGTTCGCGCATATTTTTTTTAACTCGTTTAAATTAAAAAATTCGCGACCATTAAACGAAACCAACAGTTTTGTCAAGAAAAAATATTTTGAAATCGAAAAAAATTAATAAAAATAGCGTAAATGAAAATAATAAATAAAAGTAACAGCAACAAACCTATGATTTAGCAATATATTCGATGACAATTCAATGAGACTTGGTATCACATTATATTCACCTACAGTGTAATGAAGATCGGTGGATAAAAATGGATTCATTGAAATATCTAAGGTACGTAGGCATCGATTTACAAAAAACAAGGTTGGTGGTAAATACAACAACCAGTTATATGAGACGTCCAAAATTTCAAGATTTTTAAGATTTATAATGCGTTTTGGTAAACGTTGCAACATGTTGTGAGAAATCTTTAATTCTCGTAAAGTACGTAACTTATCGATATATACTGGTAATTCTTTTAACTATAAATGATAAATGATTAATGATGATATTGGTTGATTATAAAATATTTTGTTATGCTTAATGGAATCTTTTTTTTTCAGTGATACCTTTTAATTATAAAGTGACTTACTAAATTATAACTTATATTTAGGAATATCAAACTCTTTTGGATGGCAAATTGTTCTATCCATAGCCATTTATATTGACCTCGAATTCCAAGACGATTGTATGATAGATCAAGCCATTGAATACAGGGCAGAGTACCAAAATTCTTTGGTAAATTGGTGATTTTATTGTTTGATAAATTTATATGTGTTAAATTTTGAAAGTTTGTTGTTGTTAATTTTTCAAGAAAATAAGTCATAATTTTTTAAATAATAAAGGTTTTGTCAATAATATAAAATCTTTCAAAATGTTTTAGATGCCTTTTCTTGATTAATTTGTCTTGAAATTCACTTAAGAAAAACTATTTTAATTTAAATCTGAAAAAGATGTAGATATGTATATTATGTGAAAAATATTGTAATATGATTAATATATTTAAATGTATAATATGATTTAGCTCGTAAAGATTTTCAAGTAAATAATTTTTAATTTTTTTATTATCATGCGTTATAATATTCTTATTTTTGATAGG